GCCCGCGCGCGGCGTCTCCACGCATCCTATATCTCGTGCGACATCACCGACGAGGCCTCCACAAGCCGGATTCTCGAGCAGATCGCGGCAGAGGCATTGGGCCGTGATATGCCCTTGCGCGGACTCATAACCTGCGCCGGGATCCAGCAGATGGTGCCCGCGTTGGAGTACCCCGTTGACATGTGGAGGAAGATGTTGGACGTTAAGTAAGCTTCCACCACCAAGTCCACAGTTCTGTGGGGAGGACAGTATGAAATCTAACAAGAGCCGGTAATTCCAGCGTGATCGGCACCTTCATCCCCGCCAAGCATTGCGCTCGCATCTTCAAGGAGCAGAACATCCCCGCCAGCATTGTGATGATTGCTTCGATGTCCGGACAGATCGCCAACCGAGTAAGAGATTGCCTTCTTTCCATCATGACAAGAGAAAGAAAAGCTAACAGAGCGGCCGCATACAGGGTCTCACCTGCACAGCATACAACTCCTCCAAGGCTGCCGTCCACCAAATGTGTCGCTCTGTAGCGCAGGAATGGGGACAATATGGCATTCGCATCAACACCCTATCCGCCGGTGTAGGTTTGCTCTTATATCCTAATGTATCCAGTGATGACCGCTAACCACTGGGCCAAATGCAGTACATTCGCACCGCCATGACGGATGCTCTGCTCGCGGAGAAGCCGGAGGTGGAGGAGACCTGGATGCGGGGCGCGCTGCTGGGCCGCCTGGGCGTGCCCGAGGACTTCAAGGCGCCCACGGTGTACATGTTGGCCGATGGCAGCGGATTTATGACGGGAGCGGATTTGAGGGTAGATGGGGGACATTGTGCTTCGGCTTGAGTGCGGGAATTAATCTGATAGATGGCGTTCAGGTAGATTGGGGAAATGCATTTGGTTCAACTTCATAGGTCGTTTATCTGCGGTGGTCAGTCACGGCCGTCGAGCGACAGGGGCCAGGATTCTAAGGTGTCCAAAACGCCGAAGACATTAATCTAACTGTAGAAACACTCGACTTAGGAAAGGCCTGGTTCCCATGACCACAGTTCTGTTCACCTGCATGAAAAAGGTTGTATTCTTAATGTGCCCTGTGCTTGTGACCTCCTAGGCCTACGTTAACGTCTCCAAGTGCGAGTCACTGGAACAAAGGTCACTGTGGGCCGAATTCTACTCAGGCGATACGCCAAAGGATGGGACCGAAAAGGGTATAATGGATTGGGTGCATGATTGTGGCACGCAGATAATCTCGCTTTCGGGGGAATCAATTGGTCAACATCGATTTCTATCATCTTCCTCAATTGTCCCTATCCAATCAATCTTCCTACTGCTAGAAGAGCCGTTCCCACAATGGTAGTTCATGATACCACCTGTACTGGGTGTCAAATTCCAACGCGAGAAGCTATATCCTGGCTGTCATACGTCCAAGCGGAATGGTGGGCGTTCTTATCCTCCACTTAACAAGGTCCGGTCTCGAACAATCCCTTGGCTTTTGATCCATCAACGTCGAATGCCAGGGTGACATGGCAAGCAGTTAAAGGATGAGCTGTGTGCCTCAGGTGTGGGCTTGCATCCAACACCGAGTGGAAAAATTTGTTGGTTGTAGCACCGAAAAACAAGACGGTGTGAGAGAATTCTCAACCAGGGTTGAGGAGTAGCCAATGGGACATAACGGTACGAGCACACCAGTCCTTCCTCATGGCCACCGAGGTAGATAATGAGGATAATTGTCAACTGTTTAATCCCCAATGCGACGCTTCCTGTGCAAACGGGTGTCTCAATGTTTGCCTTTTCTGCGACATGATGTGATAAACATTGGATATCATGATAGACCCACCAACAAAGCCAGTCTGCAAGAGGGCGCGGATTCGCATACTCTAGCAGGGACACGTCCCCAGAAGGTCAAGCACTCTCGCACATAGAGGGGTAGACGGAAGGCCCCTGCAAGCCTGAGCACGGTGCTAGTCACAGACCCCGCGCGCATAGTCCCTTATGCCATGGCAACAGAGTGACTGACATTACCTTGCTATCGGTCCTTGACCAATCGTCGTTCAATTTACTGAAGAGGCACGGATGCATGGGGATATAATGCAGGCGCCAACCCGGCAGAGTCGAGATGAAGATAAAGTATGAAAACAAGCCGCGTGGAAGTCTGGGGAGATCCAGCCGCCAGACTAGATTGACAATAGAATTGAAGCTCCCAGCAGGAAGCTCTCAGAGAGACAGCTCATAGGTGTAATGTACATCTGATTGATGATTTGCACGATGGAATCACCGAGCGAGCCGCCACTAGGTAAGACCGGCAGATGTGTGCATTAACGCGGACGATAACGACAAGGGTCTTGAGTATCTCTGACCTGGGGTGGTTTTCCGAGCAGTCGATTGGAGTGAACGTACTTTGATGAGGAACATGGTGTACATATTGTGTGGTGGCTAGAGGAGAGGATGAGCTTTAGCGCTGGAAAATAGCGCGCGTTAATCCCTGAGGAAGTAAGTATTTCGGCCTTGTCGTTAGTTTGTAGCATTGCATATTCGGACTATTCGAGCCATAGAGACCAGTTTGATGAAGGGATATAAGAAGGATGGTCCTGATGAATGTTTGAGCTTCATTTCATCTGACCGAGTAGCTGACACCTTCTCGTCAATTGTCACACATCATTGCAGATCAACCGATCTGAACCTGCAGTCGAGCGAAACACCGTCTTCCCCTCTTTCTCGCGGAAGCCAATCCACGCCAGACAATTCTGCAGACTGGTGATCCATTGCATTGGAGATCACACCTCTCTGCAGCCAGCTTGGGTGAGTTGAAACGTGTGGAGGCCGATAGATGGAGAAAGGAGTGTGGAAAGGGCGACTCGGGGCCCTTCGATGCAGCCGCGCACCTCTCGGAGTCAAGCCATTCTAGGTCTAGCGCGTGACACTGACCTTGAATTTGTGACAGACCCTCATACTTACATGACATGCGTCTCGTTCTTTTACCGTCATAATACCCGTACTGTACGCGAAATCCGCCTGCCTCTCCTGTCTGGGCTGTCGGCGTCAATTCGAGATAAATAATAATCCTCGCCCTCCACGTCTCGCCCGCCCTCCATCCCTTAACCTCCTCCCTCCCCGCCTCCTTCACTTCTTATCCTGAGAAAGAGGATATCACGAAAGAAAGTTCTCTCCCGGTCTTGCTCTATTATTATCACAGCTGCGACGTTCCCGGTTGATCGCTTCAGTCACCTAGTCCCGGCTTGCCTACTTCTCCCCGGGTGTCGGCTGTCTCATACAGACTCAATCTATATACGACGGGTCACCCTTGTCTACTGCCACGCACGCACAACGTGACAAGGTCAGGCGCATTCTCGTCAGAACAAATCGTCACCTGGTTTGGGAGCTTCTTTTCTTCAAGGCCCTCTGAGCACTCTTGTGTCCTACACATTACCTAAACTCTCGAGGACCTCGACACATCTACATCCATCCAAAATGCCGGCGAAGCCAATCCTCCACCCGTTACAGACCCCTCGCACGATGACCTTCCCTTCCGAACTACAAGCCGACTCAGGAGCCAGTCTATCAGGGGGCGGAGCAAGGAACACCAGTGACGACGGCCTGTCGACGCCCATCACCCCACCCGCCGCCTACACGGAATTCCTCAAGGCCCTGACCCCGATCTTCTCCCCGGCCGACGGCAATGGGGCCAGCACGCGCTTCGTCTGGGACAAGGCCACGAAGACACCGACCTCGCAACCGGCCAGTGCGGTCAGCGGCTCGTTCAACTTCTCCGATGCCACCACCAGACCCGCGACGGCGTCCCTGCCGCCGCCGACGCCGTACGGCACGGTGCCCCCGACCCGGCGGGATATGATGAACCTGCGCCGTCTGCGCATCCCCCCGGCCATGCGGTACTCGCCCACGCTGGAGACGCCGCGGAGCGCGAACTCGATCCTGTCGCCCTACTCGCCGTCGGATTGGAAGCTGCGGTATTGGGAGGGCCCGCGGAGTGCGACCGCCAGCCGGGTGAGCGTGCGGCATGTGGTCACCCATACCGTGACATATAAGCGGACGCAGCTCGAAGATCCGCCCAAGGGGAAGCGGAGAAAGCATAGCGAGGAGAAAGATGAATCGTGAAAGTTTTGATTTCCTTTCAATTTAGGGCGCTTTTTTCTGTCTGGGTTAGGTAGCGCTGGGCTTGGCGTTGGGAGTTGGGGGAGCGGATTCACTATTGGGTAGGATATAACAAATATGATTCACTCTCTCGAAGACATTTGCAAATCATTTATCCTTTGACATGAAGTCGACTTCTCTAGTAAATGAACATAGACCGGGGAACACCGCGGGGAGCAACTGCAAGCTTCCGACTGGTTCATTGGCAAACACAAGCAGACTTGGCCAATGACGACATGTCCGGAGTATGTGTACGTGGAGTCTGATCTATCAGTGACGTTGACGGGGTATAGGTGGTAGCATTAGCTCCTTACTATAGGCGACCTATTGCACTGCATGGTACGGAGACATCAATCAGCATACCAACTAACGACGCTGTTTCTTCCCATCAACATAGTCCGATAAAGATACATACTCACCAACTTACAAAGCTCCTCGAACAACGCACACTAAATGCCCTACCACCCCAAGCCCACAGCCTCAAACCCACAATTGACTTCAGGCCAACACACCACCAACCCAGAGCCTCCTGCAAGGCATCTGCGCCGCATGCACCACCCCCCTCTCAGACCTATACAATCCGACCCCCCCTCCCAGATCCCAAGATCCCCTCAATCACATTCTCACCCACCTACAGACGCAACCACGTGTTTGCCCTAGAGATCCTGCCCATCCACAACCCATTTCTACCCACCATCAGTACGGAAGGCGCATCAGCCCCCCTCATGCCCTCTCAACTAGCCTGGTATTGTTCCCTTCTCTCCCAGGAAAGCAAGCATAAGCGCGGTTTACGAGCTAGGTGCCCAACGAAACCCTCCAGCTTCCTGCTAGAGTCCAGAGCACTTAGGTCTGGCGGGACCCAAGCATCCGGAACCGCGCACTGACACCGTCTAAAGTGACAGGCTTTCGCGGCGGGTGAGACGGTGTGGGCCGGCCACTCTTTCTGAGTCTCAGTGAGATGAGTCGTGACCCGACCCGGGGCAGTGGTAAAGATGACCATTGGAGAGAGAAAAGTCGTAGTCAAAGTAAAGAGGAAACCTTTTTGGGGGGCGCGGTTATTACTTGCTAGGGGGGTTTTGTGTGCTGGCTGGGGATGATGGAATTGTTGGGTTTGATTTGGTTTATAGCCGTAGTAGAATGAATAACATGATATGAAGTTGGACACTTGATGTCGTCTTGTTGGTGGTCAATCTTCGAGGGGTGTGAACTAGTTAGATGGTTGTGGTTGTTGTTCGAGGTGGAAGGAAGGGCTATTGTATAGATACTGACACTGGTACAGAGAGATGTATGTATGTATGATTCCTGGTTGGTAAGAATCGCCCCTGAATCACTGACCCATCCAGTGTAGAATATAGCATCATCACCAGCATCGACAAAGTCAAATACCAAGGTGCAGGTGAAAAAGAAGAGGCTCATCACGACCAAAATACTGTACATCGTAGGCTCGGTGGTGTACGGTAACCAACCCACCATCAGCGGTAACGGTAAATAACCAATACACGCGATACCACCGCGAGCGCACGGCGGTAACCCTACCCTCCCCATTGGAACATCTACGCCCAGAGATCGTGAGCACCCCCTTTACTAGGTCGTGAACTGAGCCACCCTTAACTAACAAAGACTAACACTTACACTCTGATCCGCGTCCGCGTCCAAAGTTTCCGGTGATTCGCCCCCGTGGAGGGTACGGTCGAAGTCTGCCGTGCCAAACGGTCGCCGGTTCACCCTGCCCGGGGCACTGCTCCAGCCTGCCCCGTGGCCGCAACCTAGATCACCTTGTGATTTAGCACCGAGCGATGGGGCCAGGTCATTGGCCAGCAAAGCGCGCTGACTGTTTCATGTTTGCTCGCTGAAGAATTGCGGGCGCAGGCAAGCGGGATTAAGGGGTGGACATTTCTGTAGTCGTACATTAGATTGAGATTGAGCTGTAAATAGAAAAACATGTAAGATCTTAGTGAAGAGATTGCGAGGGCTTCGAGAAAACAAACCACCACTCCCCTTCCGTGATAGGGCTGGTCTGGTATCTGGCACTTTTGGCCTCTGCTGATGTGACTCTCGAGGATGCTCGATGCTCTGGTGTTACATCACCACGCTCAATGTTATATGCCACAGGTAGAATAGGCACGCGCGCCTCCAACGCGACTTCCTTCACCACGACCTTCAATCCCTCTAGAACCTACCACACCCAACTAGACAGTGTGCTAGAAGCAACTAAGCTACCTAGGACTAGTATTCCTCCTCCGCTACGAAGTAGCAGCCTAGGTAACATAGTAGGTAGGCTGGCCATGCAGACGAGCCAACCAGTAAGTAAGAAATCCCCCTCGGCGCCAAAACCCACCACACGTCATCTAAACTCACCCCGCCCACATCGATCCTTATCCCGGCGGAACCAATGGTTCCAGGTTCCAGAACCGGGAGGGGGAAAAGCCCGCCGACGGGACCCACCCTCGCCCCCAAAGAAGTCTAGTGCCGGCGCTTAACTGCAGCTGCCACGATGTGGTCCCAGCGAAGTACTCTCTACCTTCAGGTTAACTACCTCTAGCTGGTGTACAACAGCCCTGCTAGTATCAGTCCCTAGTACTGAAGTAGACTATATTTAGAAAAACAAGCCCAAGGAATAGGGTACTCTCCCAAGTCATATGCCTATCCATATCCAATGCATCGAAAACACCCAAAAAGAAGAGCGGGAAATCGAGAGAGAGAGGCACACAAGATACTTGTACCTACAAGCCTAACCACAAAAACAAGCTCCCTTGCAATTAACCTTTGTGAAGGATTTCCCACCCCGCCCCCGAAAAAAAAAACCACTAGCAAAACTCCCTGTAGAAATCCAAACTCGGTTCATCACACTCATAACGCCTTACAACCCCATGGATTTGCCGCCGTGATCTCAGCCGCTCGCCCTCCTCCCCTCATTCGGAGGGGATCATCGCACGCGTATCAACCCGTCCCCCCTTCCTCTGAGAATTCTATATACCAGATCCGTGCAGAGAGTTGGCCTTACTCAATAGGGCTTAGCCGTCTGACGAAAGGGGGAAGGAAAGCTGTGATGACTTTAGATTGGGATTGGTAGTGGAATTAACTCTTTAGCAGAGGTGGGCAGAGAAAAAGTGGGGCAGGGATTAAGTTAGTAGGTAGGTAGGCATCGAGCGTCGCGCAGTTGGCTCAATCCGGTTGGATTCTGTTGTGTCTTCTCGGCAGACTGAGGATGGATTGGCTGATTCACTTGACGACCACGTAACTCGTCGGCAGGATATACAGGATACCACTGTGCAGGAGACTTCTGTGCTCCGCAGCGGGAAGAGGAAGGGGCAGCTGGTTTTCTAGTCTGCAGGATAGTCGAACAGTGCAAAGGTCAGCAGGTGAGTGGTAGATGTGAGCGCCAGACACACATACATACTTGCTGAGGGTGGGCAGTGTCCTGAAACCTCCCGGATATCTGCAGGCTTTCTATTTTCATCACAGACTAAGGAAGTTATTTTGGGTGATGGAGGAGACCCTGACTGAGATGCTGTGATTGGGCTAAGTGCAGGAGATGCTATGTGTGCGCACTGCTATTCTGGGATGGAGGGGTGGGGGGATATTTTTGGTAACCGCTCTTATGGCGGCTGCAATGAAGATGGGCCATACAGTGGTTTGCGATCGCTGCATTGGGAGCTTATATCATGAGGTTGGAGCCGGAGATGATGAACATCATTGATGATGAACGCAGACGCTGGCCCGGGTGTGGTCGTCGACAATGCTGCTTAAATTTACATTGCAACGGACTGGATCCGAGGTCGAACGTCAACAACACACAGGATCAGACTGTCGTCAGTTCTGTCAGTGCATCGAATGGATGACCCCTCCCGATAACAATATCCTCAGGACACTCCCCATGGACTGAGTCTTGATTCGACTGGTGGAGCGTGCGTTCGCCAACCAGTGATAGTCCTCGACCTCATCGGCATTTTCGCAAGTCCGTGACGAATGGCTTGGGTCGCCGTGATTCTTAGCTGTACTTCCAGCCCAGTCGGTTCATTGCCCCCCCCTCATCAATATCCCAGCGGTTAGTCATGTTGATGATGTTGACTTTTTGTGATGATGATTGCAGAAATCGAGTGCGTTGACTTTTGCCCCTCTCTTTCTTTCTTCCGAACAAGAGTCTGCCAATGAACGTAGACGATTCGTCTCCTTTGGTGATACTCACAGCGCGGGGGGACAATTATAGAACAAATCCTGGGCGGCGCGCCGTCCGTTGCTTCGGGCAGTTTAAGCGCACAATTCCCTGCATGATCGCATCTCTTCATCACCCTTCCCCTTCCCCGAAGACTGTCCACCCGCCGCGTATTGCCGCCTAGATGCTCGTCTCATTGCGGCGGTGGTATGGTACTGTTCTGTACCTTGGGGTTTGCTTACCATGACCAAAGTTACGGATGTCTTCAGTCCGATGCAAGAGGAGGCATAGGCACACGGCGATGAAGTGGTTGACCCCTTGTTGGCTAGATGGTTGCTTATTACAGAGAGAGAGCGCCCTTCTCGCATGAGTATATCATGGAGGGATCACTCCCGCAGCGATCCATGACGAACGACACAATGAACAGGAGCAGGCTGGTCGCCCTGACCAAGGATGTTGCTGACATGCCTGGCCCGACTCCTCTTTGTCGCTCCGCCATTCGTGGTCGTGGTCTCTTTCATGCCCCTCTTCATTCTCATTTCTGCCTTTGATATCTCTTCGTACCTCAAGTGGGGTACATCCAGTACTTCCTCGTTCAGCCTCGGGTGGCAGCCATGAGGCCAATCAGGCATCCTTCCAAGCATGAGGCATTACCATGGATCTGTTCTCTGTTCGACTTGCATGTCTGCTGCCATGATGAAGGGCCTAGCAGTCCACAGCAATGCAGTGAGCAGGAAGTGGCAGAAAACAGAAGAAGAATGAAGGGGTGGGGGAAATAAACAAGAGCGAGCGTTGAAGCTGCGGTGTGATGCCAAGGCTGAGTCTATAATTAGAAAAGCCCATCAATTTCAGAACCCCTCAAATCAAATCAAATCAATTCAATTCAATTCAATAATGCAAGTCAATCAATCAATCAGTCATTCAATCCATTCCACTACCACTACCACCACCAGCAATCTCGAGTCCTCTTCCGGTTTCTTCTCATCTACTCTCCATCCATTTTCTCTGATCCTCGTGGACGATAAACGACCAGGCATCGTCAGTCGCACTGTTTCACCCCAACACGCGGAATCATTCCATCTCGTCTGACCCGGGATCGGCGGTTTCAGTCCCTCCAGGAGTCCAGCATCTGCATCCCCGTTTCAGATGCCTCGTTCATCTTATCAGCGACAGTCCACTGCCCTCGTCCGGTCCGCCTAGAAGGTCCCTCACCTTCATCGTCCTCCGTACTCTCCAACCACCAAAGTACAAACAAAACACCAAAGAGCCATGGCATACTCCCTCCCCACGCCCTTCACCCCCAACCACAGCGAGTTCGCTGCCCTCGACCCCTCGCGCGTCCCTGATGGCACCATCTCCATCACCGCTCTGGCTCGCTTCGAATTCGAAGCTGGCAAGGGCAACGACGGGACCAAGATCCTGATGATCGAGTGGGAAGACGACGATCTCGGCCGGACTTCCCCAGACAACAACAACAACAACAACAACAACAACAACAACAACAACAACAACAGCAGCAAAGGCGGCTCATGGCACGTCGCCTGGGAAGGCAAACAGGCGGTCCTCCCCGCCGACGAGAAGACCAAGGACAACACGCGCCGGTTCTACTTCCTCCTCCCGCCGCACGTCACCATCCCTCCGACCGTGACGCTCTTCTACGAAGCCGCCCCGGCTGACCACGACCAAACTGCTGCTGCTGCTGCTGCTGCTGCTGCTGCTGCTGCTGCAGCGGCGACGGCAAAAGCCCCCGAGCCGCTGCACCTGAACCCCCTACCCGCGATTTTCCCGCCGGAGCTGGGAGCGGACGGCCGGTCCGCGGGCAAGAAGGGGGTGCTGCACACCATCTGGGCGAAGAAACGGCTGCAGGTGCTGGATAAGGAGATCCGCGACGAGTGCCTGGCGAACGTCGAGGGGATCGCGCTGCACATGGCGCTGCAGGAGAAGGAGTGGATCGAGACCAACTTCGGGGTCTCGTTGAACACCGAGCGCAGTCCGCCAGCCAGCCATCCGGATCCGCATTATCCCATGGGCCCGGCGACCCCGGTGTCGCCCAGTACCACCAGTGGAGGGAAGCTGGGGGAGAAGCTCCGGGGGTTGAAGCTGCAGACGAGTGAGAAGGAGCTATCGCCGAAGGGAGAGGGTATGTTTCTTCGTCGAATTCAACCGGCCCCAACTACAAGTCCACAGGCTAACTCCTCACTAAAAATATAGGCCATGCCGCCACCGCCCGCCATCTCCTCTCCCCGCAGTCCCCAGACGTCGCCGTCTCCTCCTTCACCTCCTTCCACACTCTCCAAAGCCACCACCACAACAACACCACCAACAATCAACCAGCCCAACCACCCTCCGACCCGCCCATCCGCCCCATCATCGTCCACTACCCCCCCGAATCTCTCCAAACCCACCAATCCCCCGATCACGACCTGCAACCAAACCACCACCTCCTCCAGCACACCGGCTTCACCTCAATAGGCACAATGACACACACCTCCAGCACGGAATCCGGCGAGGAGCTCTTCGCCAAGGCCCTGAGTCCCCGCACGCCCAACCTGCCCCGGAGTCCCTTCTCCTTCAGTCCGGGGACTTTACATATGTGAGATTTTGTTCCTGCATCTGCATCCGCAACTTGGGTGGCTCTGTGGTTATCTTTGTGGTCAGTTTATCTCTCGTCTATAATAAGCTTAGCATGCATCTATCTGCATCACCTTCGTGTTTTTGTTTATCCCTTCGCAACGTGATGCTGTTGATATTAGCCGTGTCGTGTCCTGGAACCCCCTCCCTCGCTTCTTGTATGGTGTGTTGGATGTGTGGCTTGTTTTCCTTTTTGTTTCTATGATTCCCCCTACATATCAGACATTATAGCTATTATGTGTTTTATATGTGATTCTTTTCTTGATGATCTAAGATTCGAAGATGATCGGGATGTCGGATCCTGGTCTTCTTCGTTCTTCAAATCTGTATATAGATGTTCGTATGAGTATGGTTGAGTACTTGGTGCGTTGTATTGTAGGGGATTGAGTATGGGAGGGGAGGAGCACTACCGTATAGGGCTTCCATAGCTATGGTCAAGAAGGGGGAGCAGCGGTATCATATTGGTACCGGCATTTCTGTTCTCCAGAGAGATGGATCTACGAAAGGAGTTCGACGATTTCGAACCCATACACTTAGGTAGGTAGGCAGGAGATAGGTAGGTAGGTAGGTAGGTAGAATCATCCCATTCGGCATCGCAACCTCAACGCGCTCGAAAGAATTTTTGAACAGCCAATACCTAGTCCACATAAGCAGCGCAGCGCAGCGCAGTGCAGCATCAACAGCTAGCTAGCCCGCCTCCGACAACAACAACCACCACCACCACCACCACACAAACAATCCTCCCCCTTTCCCCCTCAACCCCAACAAACCCTCACGCCCAAGCAACCCATCCCACTAATTCTTCTTCCTCGAGCTCGCCTGCCGCGTCACCCTGCCTGTCGTCGTAGCAGACGAAGCCCCCTGCTGCTGCTCTTGCTGGTCTTCCTTCTCACCAGCCGCATCCTGCTTCCCCTCCTTCTCCTTCTCCTTCTTGGAGGAAGAGGGAGCGGCCTTAAAGCTCGCCAACTCCTGCGCCTCCTTCCGCTCGGCATACCACTGACCCGCTTGTAAGACCAGCACGCCGACCAACACCAGCGCCAGGATCGTGTTACTGGCCGCGAGGACCTTCAGCGAATCCTCGCGACCAAGAATCTGCCCTTCCTCGGCGGGCGCGTCACTTCCCGCAGTAGCAGCAGCGGTGGCAGCGAGAAGATCATCGCCGTAGGTGCCCGCGCTGACCAGCCGCAAGCCCTTCACGATATTCGCAATGTACACCGTCACGCCGCACATGTACAGCACCAGACTGGCGCCGTCGAAGAGCATGTTGCTCTCCGAGGGGCGGTAGAGCTTGGTCACGAGGCCGGCCAACCCCAGAAAGATGACGATGTGGAGGATGCGCGGGATGAGGGGCGGGGAGGCGTGCAGGAAGCGGAGGTGGGATTCAAAGTAGTCGAAGTGCGTGGCGGGCGTCGGGGTTGTGGACCACAGGATCGGGTAGTCGTAGGGGAAGAGGGAGAAGATGATGCCGAGGAAAAAGCTGGTAGCTAGAGACGTCACGTCAGTGTCTGATTTGCTGAAAGGGTGATATGTCCTCTCTGGTAGCGGTAGTGATGGTGGTGAACTTGGAAGATATTTGGATTGCTGCTTACGGCACACGATGAGAAAGGTCGCAAAGGACCCGCTGCGGAAAGCCATGACTGCAAGCTTGGAAGTGCTCCGATGCGAACACTACTGCGAGCAACGAATTGACAAGGGGTGGAAACAAAGGTGGTTTTCTGTCCTGTGTTTTTGGGGGGGGGGGG